ACATGCGTCTAACGGATACACACCGTTCTATGTGAACTAGCTTCTTACTCCTCGCGTCCCACTGATGCCGCCATCCCATGGCTCACGGCTTAGTGGGGGAGGAATAGCCGAACGGCTAGCTGATGTCAGCCCCCTCACTGTTCGTTAAGGAATCGATGACTTTCTGTCTACCAGACTGAATGTCTTACGACAAGTTGGAGATGCGATGGCTGATAGCCAAGACATGCAGACGAAAGAAGCAGAAGAAATGTTACAAACCTTGAGGTCGGAGATTAGATTTTATACTAAGCTGAGACCTTCCTACACATGCAGTTTCTGCTGTCTAAAAGACGAAGCTCCGTCCACAGTCTATTGGGCCTTTTGATGGCTACGCGGGGCTTCGTGTATACGCTAAAATTTCCGACATAGGTGCGCACCCAGCCGGTGTTTAATGTGCGCTTGCTCAAGCCGTACCGAGATCTGACGCAAGTGAACGCGGAAGCGCTGGCGCCGGGGCGGCGCCTAAAGGCGCTAGACAACCCAGAAGCTGGACCAGCAACTGTTATTAAGCACAAAGTGTAACAATTTCCAGATCCAACGGTGCCAGGCATAATACTTTCGCATTAAGCGACGCATTCGTCTGGCCAACGGCCAGGAGCTGCTTCAACGGAGCGCAACATTTTTAAAGTGAGGCAGCCGGTGCAAAACGGTATCCAAGTTTTTTAGGTCTTCCGCGCAGCGGAAATTGACCCTAGTAGTGATGCTCAGCGGAGCCCTGATGGCAACGGACCTTGTCCTCGAGAGTTCGAAGAGCATCGTGAGTCATCGGACGGCGACCGACCGAGTCGTCATCGTTTGCCACAACCTCATCTCAACTAGAAAGGTGGCGTCCACTATCACGTTGAACGTCTTGTGGAACGACGTCGTCGACAGGGTCGAATCCAGTAAGTGGCAGAGATACCCAGACTTCGATAGATTGTGGGAGTATTAGGTGCCACTTCGGCAAGACTGCTCAGACGTCGTGGACACTTACGATCAGAGGGATCATGACGTTCCGCATCGTCTTACGCCCCGCGGTTCTCGGCAATAGTCAGGAAAGCTGAAGGGCCATGAGTCGAGCTCAAGCTATGCTACGAGCTGTTGTGGCTGCAGACACACCCGTGTGAGAGACCATAGAGTTCACAGGAACGTGATTGATCAACCCATACGTCACAGGGCGACAACCCTTGGATTGTCGCCCTGTGACGTATGGGTTGATTTCGGCGATGCGCCTTGAGTTTGGCAGACTCAAACCGAAGATGGCAATCCACACGCGCGTCCACCACCCTGCGGCTCCCTGTTAGTTGTGTAGCGAAGAACAATTCCGGTGTCGCTGTACCCATCGCTCGAAGTTCCTTTTGTCATCTGCATCGGTTTTGCCAGGGGCGAGAACCACATAAGTTGTCCGCACCGCGGGTAGAGAAGTTCTGTTTGGAGAAGCCGAATTGCACACGAGGGCCAAGGACCGACCGCCGATGCACGCGCATGAGAGCCGCTCTGCGGATTTGCTGCTTCTGTGCCTTGTCGAGGTGATTGGTAATGACACCACTTCCTCAGAACGGACACGGCATCCGCAAGGGTCAAGCAGGGTTCACGTCGCGCCGTTGTGGCACCTCGCTCTCTTCTTTCTTCCATCCTGGGAAAGGAGTATCCGACTCTTACTCAACTTCCTCCAAATCCTCGACGAGTTTATCCATCTCCCGCGAATCGCGGTGTGCAGTCGAGATTAGACATCGCGGCTGTGTCCTTGGTCGTGTGACCCTGTCGCTGAGCATGCGCTGGTTAGAACTCGGTCTTGAGCTGCGCTTCCTTTGAAGCCTCGGACGTACTGTCCGAAGAAGGGCTCTGCCCGCGTGATTTTTCACAGGGTGTCTTCCGTGTCCTCTTCACAGAGCTCATTATGCGGAGAATTCGTGACGAAGGTCGTGGTGATGTTGTGGTGTCTTAGACACTCAATTTTTGTTGGAGGCGGCAGTTGAATGTGAATAGGTGTTCACAATCTTGAAGGGGGAGAGTGTAACGGGGCTTCACGTGCCACAGTGTAAAGAGTGTGGGTCACCCGAGTCGGTGTGAACACACAATGGTGTGGCTACATTCAAACAAAGAGTCAGTACGTGGCTGGAACAGCCACGTACTATACATTTATCTAGGTTTTATTTTTTAGATAGAAAAACCTATATATTTAGATATAGGCGGTTTTGCCGCAAATAAAACCGAGATATACGGTTTATGTTTTAAACGAAAGAGTTACTTAGCCTTGAGTTAAGGTTTTGATTAATCTTTGAGTAAGTGGATCGCGATCTGCTACACTCATACTAGAACGAAGGTCACCGACCGGAACCAAGCTTCTGCTAAGCGAAAGAGCTACGGCAGCGTTGCTCATTAAACTGAATCTATCAGGAAGGAACGCATTTCAGCCGCGGAAACGAAGCTGCGGAGGACGTAGAGCTGCTAAAAATAATAAATGGCGATAATGTAGAGAGCGCGTAGGTAGAGCTGGGAATTTTGGAGCGGCTGGGCCTTTCCATATACTGTACGCTGCTTTAAGCTATGAAAGCGTTAGTTAAGGTCGAATCTTTCAGACAGAGTTCTGGTTTGTTAAGGTGCTCGATTCGATTGTGGGTTTCGGGAGAGTGTCAAAAAGACTTTCGCTGTCCTCAACATACACGCGTAGATACTCCCAAAGAGAATATTTGATTTATGTCAATTCGACGTACGAAGATTTAGGCAGCTTTGAGACGAGTAAATTGTGTTCATCGCAACAGCTGTGCAAAACATTTCGCAATTCTATTTAAATGATACGATGTCACATGGCTGTCTATCTTGGTCCTCACTCGCATATATTCGTAATCATTTACTGCAACTGGTTGTCAGAGTGAAAATTTAAAGACTGCAACAAGACTCGCGTCACAAATCTTGTCGTCTCCGGGATAGCAAGAATATCGTATTCTTGTCTCTTAATTTTTACTGCTAGATATGCGCAGACCCTCATGGCATGGATCTGCTGACGTACAAAGCAGCCAATGTTTCAGCATGAAGTGTACAGCTCATTACTTAATCCTAACAAATTAAGTAAAACGCTCGTATGTTACGACAAAAGTTAATATGCTTGACACGCCGAAACTATTGATTAGGTTGCTACACGGAAAGGACCTTGATTACGTAGTGATAACGGTCCCTGTTCTTCTCGTCTAGGAAATTTGGGTCATCAGCAACCCGCTGGCGCAGCATCATCTTAAATTTCTTTTCAAAAACCTTAGATATTCCAGTCTGCATAAGTTGTGAAATTAAATTCTGTCGCATAGCTTGCCATTGGCAATTCTGTTCCAAGTGAGCAGAACGCACAGCTTCGTCCAACATAGTGGCGAGCATTGTATTTACTTTCATGTACGCGCCTGGAAGCACTACAGGGTTCGTGCGATAGGAGCGACTGTGTGGCTTGTTCAAAATTGGGGTCATACTGGCAAGACGTAACTTTGTTGCGTCTTTCTCGATAGTTGTCAGCCAGTCTTCCTGTTCTTTGCTAGGCACATGGAGCATCACGAGTTCCTTCCACGAGACTGGTGCTTGCTGCAAAGACTTCGAGCCATTTCCAAATATCGGTGGAGTACCGTTATTACTACCGAACATTTGTGACATCATCGGCATCATCTGAGACATCATTTGACTCAGATCGGGCATAACAGCCGGGGGTGCTACTGTATGCGCAACAGCGCTAGGAGTCCAAGAAGGTGGGATTGTAGACTGGGACAATATTGCTGACTGAGATGCATTCTCCTCTTCCATTTCCATAAGCATATCATCCGCCAAGTTGTCCAGCATCTCGTCATCTGATAGAGACATGTTGTCCAAGATGTCGTCGCTCATTTTGTTGTGTGGATATTTCGGTAAGCAATAAAGAGCAATTTGTACCTAAAAACTGGGCAAGTATTTTGCATTAGTCCTTACTTTTTACCCTTTTTAGGAGCTTTAATTGGCTCATCAATCACACTAATCTGGTCCTCGTGCACCCCAAACATCTCGGGCAAAAATTCTAATAGCTCCGTTACACAGTCGCCTTGCAGCTGAATTTGTTGTTGCCCTTGGTCCGTCGTTGATAACGAGGAGCTGCAGGCGAACTTCTTGCCCATGCTTTTACAAGCTTCTTTGATGTTTACACCTTCAAAATCCTCGAGACCGGTCACAAATGTAAGTCGCTTACGACCTTTGCGCGAGCTTTTGGAAATGGTCACCATACAATTCTCCTTTCTTTTTGCTGCCTCCTCGATCTTACTCTTCTTTTTCTTCTTGACAGTCTTGCCTTCCACTTCAAGCGTAATGCCTTCCACACCGTCAGCGATTTGTTGCTCGACTTGCAAAAGCTCGCTTACTGTGCGATTATACCTTGTGAGCATCAGATCTGGACAGTGCTCAGCCAACCATGGTTTGCACTCATTGAACATGGGACCGTATTCGCAGTATTCGGGTGGTAATGTGTCAATGGGACAATAAAGTACGTCACGAAGCTTAGGTTCACCATCATCGCTTTGTAATTCCACGTCTTCATCTGAATCTTCCTCAGAGACTGAGTCACCCGGTTCTGGTCCATATTTCATGACTAGCGCGTCGAATAGCATGGACTCTTTGCCTTTGTACTTGACAAGCACCTGAGGCACGTCGTCGACCTTTTCAGGGTTGTACTTTTGATAAAACGCCAGTAGTCTTTGATAATTCATATCTTGCACTTGATCCAAGTTTGAAGAAGGAGTACAAGACGCATCACTGACCTTTGTAGTCTCTTCTACGGTCTCGAACGTCTCGTTTTCAGCGGGTTCAGTGCCATACTTCTTCACTAGCGTCAAAAAAAGCTGAGTCTCGCGACCTTTAAAGCGCTCTAGCACACTATCGATCTCGTGCAGCTTGTCAGCGTTGTATTTCTGGTAAAAACGCGTCAGCCGCTCACGATGCGAAGACATGGTTGATGATCTTTCAAAGCAAACTTACGATGTGTATCAAATATGGTGGTTTAGATAGACCTGCATACAAATTCTAGTACATAATCTTCATATCATCTTCTATTGGCTAAAAATAATTATCTTGGTGCATCAAGTAGCGCAGTATCGTACTCAGCCCCTATCAAGCGAGATCGACTCATTTGAAGCAATAATGCTCTGGAACAGCTCTGATCTCGAGAGTCTCGACTATGGTACATCATCTGACAATATTACATAAAGAGCTATTGCTCATTTAGAGCATCGCGTTAAATTTTAAACCATGTTTTACTGCAGATTTGTTTGAGAGCGTGGTAAACAAATCCGGGATGGGGTACAAGTACCGTAACGGCCAAGAAAAGAATCGACTTATCTACGCGCGTTGGTTCCTTACGCTTGCAACAGGCGTCATCACTGCGCTCGTCGCAGTCTTTATGCTCTACTTCACTATGCTGCTTATGTCTTTGAGGCAGCATCTGCTCGAGTATACAATCCACCGTGAACTGTCGAAGCATGTGCTATTCGGTACCACTTTCTGGAGTATTGTGTTGTTTAATCTCGTTCTTGTGGGTATATCCGCGACAATCACTTCGTTTGGTGAAATGGTAGCTGCTGGTTCTGGTACAACTGTGGCTTTTGAGTGTATCCTCATAGCTATAAAAGCTAAAAATGTTGATTTCATAGGTATCTCGGAGGTCAAAACGACTTTGAACGGAATGAAAATTCCACGAATGTTGCGATTACGAACATTTGTTTGCAAAGTGATCGGGACTGTGTGCTCCGTTGCTGGTGGTTTACCAGTAGGAAAAGAAGGCCCTATGATTCACAGGTGTGCTAGTACAAATACTTATTACAAAGTCTCGAAATGAATATTTTAATGGATAATCTATTGCCTTAGTGGTGCAATCGTGGCAGCAGGACTATCTCAAGGCAAATCCTCAACTCTTGGCTATGATACGAGGTAAAACTCGCTCGTTGAAAACTTCAATTTATGCTTTCTAGCTATATATGATTATTCTAGGATGTAGTTTTTCCTACTTTGCAGGCTTTCGAAACGATCGCGAGAAACGTGATTTTGTCGCTTGTGGTGCTGCTGCCGGAGTCGCATCGGCGTTCGGTGCTCCAATTGGTGGAGTATTGTTTGTTTTAGAAGAAGGTGCTTCGTTCTGGAACCAGTCACTAACATGGCGAACTTTATTTTGCGCCATGTCAGCAACATTTACATTGGCATTTTTTCTTTCTGGAATGAATGATAATTTGTCGTGGGGCACGCTAGGTAGCCATACAGGAAGTTTTAGTTTTGGGCCCTTTGCTTCAAGCACGTACCAGATATGGGAGGTTCCTCTTTTCGTGCTTATGGGTGTTGGAGGTGGTCTGCAAGGAGCATTCTTTAATGGATTAAACACGCGGCTAGCTCGACTGCGATCTCGCTGGATTCGAACTCGTGGTGTTGCATGGGCAGAAGCGTTGCTAGTATCAGTATTAATATCATCATTGCTCTTTTCGACTCCTTTCTTGCTTGGCAAATGCCACGATCTTCCGAAAGTGCGCGAAGATGTTGTTCATCTAGCAAATGTTGCCAGTGCTACTGCGGCACCTAGCAAAACGTTTGTTTTTGGCATGGAAATGCTCAAAAAGAATGGGTCCGCTTGCATTTGTGAGAGCTGTACGAGCGTATCGATAGATGGCGCCGAGTGCTTTCAAGCTGACGAGACGGTCCAATATCCGTATAAAAAGGAACTCGTGCGCTTTTATTGTCCCGAAGGCCAATACAATGACTTGGCATCGCTGATGTTGACAGGTGGAGAAGCAGCTATCAAACACTTGTTCCATGCACCACCAGACTCATTCGATGTTCGGAATCTTGTGGTCTTTTGGCTTTTGATGCTGATGTTGGCGTGTATTACTTATGGTCTTAAAATACCAAGCGGTTTGTTCGTTCCAGCGCTGCTGATTGGTGCAGCTTATGGAAGATTATGGACTCGAGTAATCAACTATTTCACTGGTTTGCATCACTTGAAAACTGTCGACCCACGTACGTATGGCCTTGTTGGAAGTTTGGCAATGCTCGGTGGTGTAACTCGTATGACTATATCATTAACGGTTATAATTCTGGAATGTACGGGTAACGTTGAGTTTGGTCTTCCGCTAATTCTCACGTCATTTTTTGCTCGATGGGTGGGCAATTATTTTAACGAAGGAATTTACGACATTCACATTCATTTGCGCCACGTACCGTTTCTCGACTGGAATCCACCACTTCGTGGTGCTTTTTTGCGTGTAAAGCACATTATGACAGCAAATCCTAAAACGCTACGCACAGTTGAACGTGCCGGGGTAATATTTGATTTGCTCGTAAGTACAAAGCATAATGCATTTCCTGTTATTGTGGAAGACCCAACATTCGGTACACACTTTTTTGCTGGCATTATTCTTCGAAAGCAGCTCAATGTATTGTTAAGTCATCATGACTTTAGTATTGAAAAGCCGAAACCATTTACTCGTCAGCCACATCCTGCGTCTTACCGGTCAGATGTGAGTTTGACAGGTCACCTCCGACATCGTCGTTCCAAGGATATAGAAACGGAACAAACTCCTCGCATTGATGATCAGTTATTAGAATCGCCTTCAGCCAATAATTATTGTCTGTCGTATCACGATATGGAAAACCATTATCCGCGGTACCCCATTCCAACTCCAATGCATCACAATTTTCAACATGTTGATCGTACCGCTGGTGATGAAATTTATACGTTGTTAGAGGAAGACCGCGCTTTATGGGTCGATCTGACGCCATATATAAACCAGACACCATATTTGATCCAGGAAGAAGCGCCATTCGTGCGTGCTTATCGTCTCTTTCGAAGTGCTGGTCTACGTCATCTTGTGGTGGTTAATCGTCACAATAACGTGCGGGGTATCATCACACGGCGAGAGCTGGAGGAGAAACATTGCACTCGCTGCTTTCGGTTAGCTAAGAATATTGATGCGGACGATGTATATCCACTTTCTGGTGCACCTCCTGTTGGTTTCTTTCGTAAACTTCGACGAACGATATCACGCACAGAACAAGTGAAGCGGGCGTTGAGCATCTCAGTATCGAACGTGCGTGACAACGATGTAAACAATGACAATGGCACGTTGCTCCGGCCCTGATCGAATAACGATTATCAGTCTCAGGTTTTGATTTGTTTACCCAAATAGCAGCTAGTACTCAGTCACCGCATTGTACCCTATTGGGGGCAGACAGGTGTCAAAACAACTTTCGACACGTCTGTTCTTAAATGTCGATTGCTATTTTATAATATACGACGAAAATGGTTGTGCAGTTCGAAGCATTCTTTGTTGTTAATTTTCTTCTAGGGAAAATGAAAAAAATTACAAGATAAACAGAAAAATAAACAGAATATGCCAGTTATTTGAAAAATAAAAATAATATACCGTGCGTACTACTTTGATTATAGTTAAGTATATATTTACATGTATACATCTCACAATTTATATGGGACAAAAAATGCCTCACCAAGTAGGCTATCCCAGTAAGGGGACGATGCTATCAAACCCTTAACCACAGAGCAAATTAGGCAACTTTCACTGGTGGACCGTGATCGGCCAAAGTAAGTCAGTAGCCTGATATTAGCAGACTAGAAGCCATCATAAACATTTTGGTCAACGACCTGTGTTTCAGGTTAGGTTTGCGACATTGTCTTCTTGATCCATCCACCTTTACTCGGCAGCTCCAACAAGCCTGATGAACCAAGCTACCGCACTTGTGATATTGGTGCTGATGGAACGTAATTCGTGAGCAGTCATCATCAAAAAATCAAAAATGATATTTTACGTCGCCTTGCTTGTCCTATCGAAAGTCAAGAGGAGATCGCGCAAGACCAGAACAACCGTTCGTCTCAAGACAGTCCTTTCAGTCGGTCGACTGATGGTGCGCACGATGCGAGGCTGCTGACCAGGGTAAGTATAGTTCTGCTGGTGTGCTTACACTTTACACAGTTGATACACTCGTAGGTTTGTGTATTTGTGAATACTTAACATACCGACGAACTCCAGTATAACGAGACGTTCGCACATCAAGCATTTATGACGTTTTTATCACGAGAGACAGAACGTAGTTATTAGTATAAAAGTATCGAACTGATACATGTAATCTGGAAACAGCAGAGCTAGCTGACAACTGGTTACGTTAAAGGCTCGCAGTTTCGTCAACCGTTGGAGTGGATGAAATCAAATTCAGAATATTTGTTAGCGCATACTCTTAAAGTCACATTTTTATTTGTGCAAAGTACCCCGTTGCAAAAGCGTTCTGAATACAAATTCATACGGGGTTACACGTACCATGGTACAAAATGTGGATTACGCAAGTCGGTGTAATCACGCAATGGTGTAGCTACACCGTAACAAAAAGCCACTACGCGGCGGGACTGCCAGTGGTTATGCAAGTAGATTAGATTTTACTATCTAATCAGGAGAACCTAAGGTTTTAGATATAGGCGGCTCTGGCGCAAAAAACAGATAAAACAGTTTAAATTTTGAACGGCAGAGTACATTTGCCTTGGATGAAGGTTTTGGGCCCTATTGGAGGTAGCGGATTGCGATCCGCTGCACTCTTACTGGTTATAGTATAGAACATAAAGTCGGTGACCTTAGTAAGCGTCCTGTAAGCAAAGAGCTACGGCAGCCTCGCTGCACAAATCGCTCAGCCAATGATCTGTATTCGTTGTCGTATCTTAGCGGCCGAGATAGACAAAGGAAATGATTTCTAGAGGTACAACCATTTCACATACTTGGTAATAGGAATAAGGATACGATCAAGCGGTTACATTGATAATGCTGTGGATGATCAAGGGCAAGCGTATATTTCATTGTCCCTGTCAGTAGTGCGAAGAGTAGAAACATTTAGCTGCAAAGCGCACATTACCGATTCGGGAAAATGCGGGACGGTGAAGTAATCTCAAAGTGTCTGCTTCTCGAAATTATCACATATTCGGTGGTCACTGTAAACCTCTCGACAGGCTGAGTTGTGGTCATCTCCTCTGTGACAAAGTTATGACGTATACAACATCGTGTTGAATTCGGCAAGATCATACAATATTTGATTCGAATCGATGACAAAGTTGATCAGGTTACGGAAACGGGTGACCTTATAAAGCAACATGGAAAAAAGAATGGCGCGCTCACATTTATGTAGGACTTTCGTGTAATATTTTATCTCTCGGACAGTGTGCAATAGACATCGAGGTCATTTTGAATTTTAAGGATACTAAAAGGTTATTTATTCGGAATGATGAAGAATGGGACTGTTAATAATACACATAATGCTAATTTTAGGGGACGAGGCCAATTTGACAAGCTCGTTTGTATTTATGGGAAAACAACATTGTAGCTCTAGCACCGCCGTCTTGGTCATGACATTGGTCTTGGGCTTATGTCGACAACGCAGGAGGAACTATACAACGGCTATGCGCTACTCAAGCAAACCTATGCTAATGTCCGCAACAATCACTCCGCAAAACTACTGGCAGTCCTGCACCGATGTGTGTGTATCATGAAGCTGGTCAATCAGTGATTAGCGGGACTTTGTCACATTAACTGAGATGTTTACGCATTTTACTAAGGTAATTTCAACACAACAACTCAAAAGCAGCAAATCATGTCCTTGAAATCACCAGATTTTCTTGAGTCCTTCATGGCTACCAATCGACATCGGCTCTGACTAGACGTACCGGAGAATAGAGGTTCAATACCCCCCTCTGCTACCTCACAGAGATACAGTCTTTCCACGACTTGGTCGTGGGGCGACCTTAAGTGCCATCGAGCGCAACAGAATTGCCGTGCACCAGGTAGCTTCGATCCGAAAGGTCCGCATTGATGAACACACACAGGTTGTGTAACAGGGAAGTACTGTAATATCGTGTACTTACAAATTTATTTTCTGTCGTGATTGTACTATATCAATAAGGTAGAAATATAAAAATTGATATTGCACATTCATGAGATTTTAAGGCAATATATACACAAACAATCGGGTACGTTATAATGATTGAACTCCGTATTCGAAAGGTATGTACTACATGCAGGCTGCAAGCCACAAATTCAACTATAAAAACACAATTATGAGAGGAAGTCAAACAAAAAATGTGGATAGAAAATATTAAGAATATGTACTACTAAATAGCAGAGCATATTTGATAACATGCTATGTTAGTAGTTCCCGCCTCCCTCTTGTTAGGGAGTACGGGCCCCGACCTCTATATGTTATATACCCGATCATTAAGAGTCAAAGCTTTTTCTTTGAGAAGTGCACAGTACCACCTTGCCTTTGGTAGCATATGTAGAGATCCCACGACCGCTTTCTTAAAGCGCAACCAGAAAACGGGACTTCGTCAGCTCCAAAGACACACTTGTCCATTCCGCTTGAGCACCATTAAAAGAGTTTGATGCGGCTCATCACACCCGACTAGCAGTTCTCTGAACGACTCTAGACAAATATAAAATTGAAATCAACTTGGTCACAGCCACGCTGCGGTCTAAACAGTTGCGTCAACAAAATATTGAGCGTCACTGGTGCATCAAGCAGTCAGACAGTCTAATCATTCATTTGCAGGACATCCTTTTCGAAGTAGTCTCCGCAATGAGAAGACGATCGATGTGTCCAAACAACAGTTGATGGTGTCTATCGGTGTTTGCGCTAAGAAAAGACCAAGTTAAGCTCATTATAAGCATGTACAATTTGCCGCTTGCCCTTAGCATTTCTGTCACGGAGAGTTGGCCTGGAGGGAAAAAATAATACTTCTCACTGAGCCAGCCAGTTCTCTGGACGGTAGAAAGCATCCGTGACTCGACACTATTTTTCTGGTAAAGGTCAGTACCGTGTATCACTTTGTGAGCCAAGTCAAATTCCTGACGCACTTCTCTATCCACGGAGCAGCACGCATGATGAGTAATTTAGTGCCACGTCGTGGTTTCTCTTCGGTAAAAGTGGAAGTGGACCGTCAGATCCTTGGTTATATGTTTCTCACCTCGTGTTAAGTGCTTTGCAAGTGTCCTTATTGATAGAGTCATTCATGGCGGATCCCGACGGAATCGTACTGTTTCAGCGACGTCGCCGTCTTGCATTTCTTCCCAGTTTTCTCCGACATATAGTTCTTTCCATTCTATAAGAGATTTTTCCGATTTTGGTAAAGGAGGATTCACAGCTCGTAGGACTTACATTCATTAAATCCTTTTTTTTCACTTGCCGTACTGCTCCGCACGGTGAACCCTGGCTCATAGAGACAGGCATTTATCCTAAACCTGACCCCTTTACTCATGACTTATGGTGACTCTTCAATCCCACCAGCTCTACCATGAGACCACGACACCCAGCTGACTTCACTGTCTGTCATCCGCAGCACAGGAGATTGCAGCTCACACCTAAATCAAAACGTTCATTTGAACTATCCTGTCTCATATCAAAATCGTAACCGAAATTGTTTACTGAGGAAGCCCCGAATTCGTTAACACGCTTCACCACGTGTTGCATACTTCCTCTAAGCCGTTGATTTAGTTGGAAGAGGTGGTAAGGTGGAGTGAAATTTATCATGGCCAATAAGCCTTACGCCTTCTTAAACTGATAAATGCCTTCAAGCTCTGATACTACAGAATTGTGATACGGAACTTTACCGGGTCTAAAGTGAATGTTAATCATTCACACACATACGTGGATCACACAACATGAGTAATGGTTCCGGCCCGTTACACCATTCCACACATTGACCCATATCTACTACAATTTGTTTACTTGAGACTCGGTCATACGTGATCCCACACGAAATAAAACGCATCGAAGACGACTTGTGCCGACGACGATCGCAGAGCAAATTGAAGCTAGCTCTGAGGATGCGATGGCGCCTTCGTCATCATCGAACATGGATGATGCTTCAATTCCACGTCGCGTGTGTCTTCACGTTTCGTGCAACCAACTTGAACATGCTGGGCTACCCACATTGAGCACTAAGAGACAAGTTCGTCTTCTCAGGGTCGAGTTGACCGAAAATTGGTGATTCAAGCGTCTCCAACAAGATCTTGAGCTTCAAATCATCGTTGTGAAGAACAACAATCTGTGCCTCGTCGCCATGTGCAATTTCATAATATAGGAGGCAACC